CCTGCTGCTCACCTCTGCCAGCAGCCCTTCCCTTCCCTGAGAAAGTGGGAGGGCAGTAAAGAGCAAAGGTCCTTGTGCTTTACAAACATAAAATACCTTATAAACATAAGGCACAAAAGCAGTAGGATGAGAAGCACCCTGGAAATGTCACCTTCTGCCTTTGGGGGTTTCCTCAGAGGGTGTAAGTAAACCTCCATAATGTCACCTTTGTCCTGGAAACCTGCTCCTCAGGTTCTCCTGGGTGTCTCCTGCCAGCAGCCTTCTCCAGGACTTCCCATCAACCCTTGGCTGCTCCTAAACACCATGGGGCTGGCCTGGGACTACCATGGACAGGGCTGGTTGTGTATGGCTGTCCTCCAGCCCTGGCAAGAGACATAACCCCATCTCCTTGGCCACCTTCGTGCCTCAGTTTCTCTTCTGCTCATTGCATTTTGGGCAGCAGTGCCAGAGCATCCCTGGCATGGGCAGTACCTCATGTTTGCATGTTGGGGCTGATCCCAGGTGTGGCCCCAGCAGAGGGGCCACAATTTGGTCACATCCAGACATTAACCCCCATGTTCTCCTCCCCAGACACCTCAATACAGAACATGCACTTGATGATCGAAGCACGGCCCAGTGTCGAGTCCAGATGCAAGTGGTACAGCAGCTGGAAATACAGGTGGGTACTGCACTAGCCTCCAAAGACATGGGTTTAAAAAGCTTTCCAGTCTCCTTTCCAAATCCATGTGCTGTGCCTTGGCTGCTCTTTGCCAGAGATGGCTAACAAGGTCAGGGACCGTAGTGAAATAACTAGCCACCCCAGGGGGCTCATTTTCATCATCCTTCCCAGGAGTGCTGGCCATGTGCCACGTCCTGGAGGTCAAGACCTGTGGGACCCTCAAACTGCTTCCCTCTCTCATACCAGCACCCCTGCAAAATTAGGATGAGGCTGGAGGAAGGAACTAGCCATTCCTCCTGCCCAAAGTGTCCCTTTGGGTACAAGGAGATGCCACAGGTCTGGAAGGCACGTGCTGCCTGGGGGGATGTGAGCTGTGCCCCAGCCTTTGTGCCCAGCTGTTCTGCCTCAGCGAGAGCCACGGGGCTACTGGGCTCTCTGGAAACCAGGCCACTTATTTTGGTGGCTGAGCATGGTCTTTGGAGCCCAACTTCAGGGATGCTATTTTTGGAAAGCCAGTTCTTTAAATAGTACCTTTCCCAGCATCTCCAACTCCCTCATGTGTTGTGTGTAATTTGGTTAATAGAGAAGGGAGGAGGGAAAATGGGAGGAAAAGTGGAGAGGTTTTATCTTGGGACTTCAAAGTGGTCAAGGAGGAAAGCAGGATGGGTCAGGGGTGTCTGTCAGGGGGCTGCTCCCTGAGACCCCTGTGGCAGGGCCTGGGTGCCCAGCTGTTGGGCCAAGAGCAGGAGCTCAAGGTGGTTTTGTCCCTTTGCTGTGCTCAGAAATGGGCATCGTGGCAGGGGATCAGGTCACCAAGTGTGGTGGCCTTGGGAGCCTTCAATCAGAGTGTGAGCAAAGGGGAGGGGGGACACAGCAAAACCTTCCCGTCTGGGGAGGCTGCGAAGCCGCACGATCACATCCCTGCTCCCCTTCCCTCGCCAGAGCGAGAGGTTGAAAGCAATTACTGGGGCTTAAAGAGGGGAGGGAAAAGGGGGAAAAAAAATAATAATAAAAAAAAAAAAAAGAGAAGCTGAAGGGCGAGCAGAAAGCTGTGTGTGCAGAGAGGAGAACCTGCCACCAGAGCTACCAATTATAAAGTTTTCAGCGCGGAGCCCCCGCTGTGCCGGTGGAGAGCGTCTGCATCACGAGGGGAGACCTGTCAGCTCTAATGAGCACCACGACAGCGAGAAAGCATCCGAGCTGCTCCAAACTTGCAGCAAACTCTGCTCAGGCTCCTGCCTTTAACTCCTTCCTCACTCAGCTCCTGGCTCCGGCGCCTGCCTGAGGAGGGGGTTTGGCTGGGTGGGAGTTGGCAGCATGTGGGGACGTGGCTGAGCCCCGAGTTTGAGGGGTGATGGTGGAAAGGGAAGGTGACGGGAAGGGAGCAGGTGTCAGATCCCATCGCCTTGGCCCAGCTCAAAATCTCTCCTGGTGCCACAGTGGATATTTCACCCTTCTCCGCACTCCGGGGAGTAAACAGGCGGGAGTGCACAATTAAAGCGATGTTGAGTGTCCAGGTGGATGGATGGATGGATGGATGGAGGGGTGGGTGGATGGATGGATGGATGGAGGGGTGGGTGGATGGACAGGGAGCTGCTGGTGAGCAGGAGATGGCAGAGACTGGAGGAAGGTGAAGGGAATGGGGACTAGGTGAGCACCCACACCGAGTCACAGTCCTGCCAAGGTTCTCGGGAGGGCTCAGCATCAGGCAGGAGGTGGCACCTCCACGGAGACTGCCAGCACTGCCTGACTGCTCCCTTCTGCTTCTTGCCTCCCACAGCTGGCAAAGGAGAGCGAGCGTCTCCAAGCAATGATGGCCCATCTTCACATGAGACCTTCAGAGCCAAAGCCTTTCAGCCAACCTGTAAGCGTGTGTGTCCCTTCCTGCCTTCGTATGTCCTGGCAGCCACCCTTTCCCCTCCCCTTTCCCCTCACTTCTGGGTGCTGTCCCCTCTCTGCCCTGCACGTGGTCACCACAGTCCTGCATGGCCTGGCTGGATGGGCTCTCCAGGATGGACATGCCCTGACCATGCTCTAGCACATGTAGCCTGGTCCTCTGTGCTGGTGTAGGGCACCAGGAGTGAAACATAGCCTTGTGTCAGCATGTTATGCTGCTCCACCAGCTCGGACTTGTGATGGATGTATCCCATCCCAGAAGTTGTCCCCTCTCCCATCGTTGCATCGCATCCCATCCCTGCCCAACCCTGCAAGCCCTTCAGTGCCTGCTTTGCAGCACGAGCTTGCTCAGCCCTGCCGAGCTGCCGACGTGCCAGGGCCCTGCCCAACCTTCTGCCCTCCCTCCCACCTCTCCATGCAGCTGAACCTGGTCTCCAGTGCCACCCTCTCCAAGAGCACTTCCGACACGTTCCCCGATGGTTTACCTCATCCCCCCACCTCCGCCACGGCGCCCATCACCCCCCTGCGACAGGGCCCCTCCGTCATCAGCTCTTCCACTTTACACAACGTGGGGCCCATTCGCAGGAGAAACTCGGAGAAGTTCTGCACCCCAATATCTTCAGGTGAGCTCCGGGGTGGGGCTCAGCACCCTCTGTTGCACGGTTCCTGGTTCCCAAAGTGGGTCCCTTCACCCCCTGCCCCTCTTGTTTCTTGTCCCCTCTCCAGAACTTGCACAGAATCACGAGTTTTACAAAAACGCCGACGTCCGGCCGCCCTTCACGTACGCCTCGCTCATCCGGCAGGTGAGCGGCTCCCCACGCCTCGGGGTTCAGCTCTGCACCCCAAGACCTGTCCACAGGGTACCCTGGGCAAAGCTCCTCAGTCCTAGG